CTGGCCACGGGGAGGGTATGGCTTGGGTGGGGAGGGTATGGGCAGTGGGGGGCTGGGCTGGCCGGGCCAGGCCAGGGGGGGGAAGAGGATAGGGTATGGCTTGGGGGGCTGGGCTGACCTGGCTGGGGGGAGGGTATGGCAATGGCGGGGGGGAGGGATAGCTCAGTGGTTTGAGCATTGGCCTGCTAAACCCAGGGTTGTGAGTTCAATCCTTGAGGGGGCCACTTAGGGATCTGGGGCAAAATCAGTACTTGGTCCTGCTAGTGAAGGCAGGGGGGCTGGACTCGATGACCTTTCAAGGTCCCTTCTAGCTCTAGGAGATAGGATATCTCCAATAATTTAATTTTAAAGCTAAACAATCCTCTGTCGCTACTAGGGTGACCAGATGTCCCCATTTTATAAGGACAGTCCCGCTTTTTGGGTCTTTTTCTTATCTAGGCTCCTATTACCCCCCATCCCCTCCCAATTTTTCACACTTGCTTTCTGGTCGCGGGAGTCACTGCCAGTCCCTAAAAACGCCTAGAAGGAGGGCTGGTGGCGAAGAGGGGGCAGACCAGGGAGAGGAAGAGAAAAGGAGGCAGGAGGGCCTAGTGGTCAGGACTTGGCCAAGCCAGGTTCAATTCCCCTTCTGCCCAGCCTAGGATAGCGCTGGGAGGACAAACAGGTGGTGCAGTGACAGGGCTTTTGACTTGCTCCTGCCTTGCAGGGCCCCTTCCAGGCACAAAGGGGCAGTCAGGTGGCACAGCCCCTTCCCTTTCTCAGGGCACTAGGGCTGAGTCTCACCCCTTTCACGAGGCAGAGGCTGCCCGTGCCTGCAGCGAGAGTTCACCAGGCCCTGCCCTGAGGCCAGCGTGCGGGTCTGTACAGCATGGCCACACACAGCAGGACCCAGGGCAGAAACAAGAGGCATCTCTTCTTTCCTCTGCTGCTCCTGCATCAAGGCAGCAGCCCCTACGGCTCCTCCTGGGCAGCAGGGTCCCTTCCCTCCCCCTTTAAAAAAGGAGGTTGCCACCCTCCACATGGCACTGGAGAACCTGGACACCCCCCCCCACCCCCAAGAACCAGTACCATGGGCCCAGCTCGCTCTCCTCCAAACTGCAGAGGGAACAATTTCAGAACCAGAAGGGCAGGTTAGCTTTGTGGATTAAGACCAGCCCCTCCTTTCACAGAGGTACGAAGATGCTATCAGGAAAGCAGCGACTTCACAGCCTCAGCCAAGCCGGACAGGTTTCAGAGTAACCACCTTTCCTTCATAGCACAGTTACAAATCGCATGCCTAGCTAGATACAATACCCATCTTGGGCCATGATCAGAGTCACTGAGAGGGAAGCAAATTCCAGCTGTCCCATGCACAAACTAGGGTTAGGCCATTCCTCCTAGCCTATAAATTCACTGTCAGGCTTGTCACGCTGGAGTTCTTTTTCACGGCTGGCTCTCCAGCCTTCAGCATAATGAAAGCTCTGAATAGGGAATTATGCACAGCAAGAGACTAGGAGCACACTATTGCATTCCATGCAGTCAGGGCCTTCCTCTTTTTCTATACACAGAACAGATGAGATCAGGGAGGGTTTTTCCTCTTGTAGTAGTTTATTCACCATCTTTTTCTCCAGGAGTCTTAACCAGTGGCACTTCCCCAGCCGGTCAGCCCTGTCAAACCCTCATTAACTCAACCTCCAAGCTGGGAGGCTGACACGCCACGCCCTACTTTCAGTATGGGAAACTGAGGAACAGCAATGAAGTCTGGGCAGACTCAGGCGTAGCACCAAGGGCTCCCCCTTCTGAAGTCTGCACCTTAACCTCAAGGTCAGCCTATTTCCCCTTTGTAATTATCAGTTAAAAAAACGACAAGAAGCAGTTGAATTCGTTGACTCCTTTGCCTTTAACTTTTATTGATGTGGATAAATACAGAGAGAAACATACTTGACAGCAAGATCCCAAACACCTATAGCCAAATTAGTTAGCCAGCTTTCTGCCGGTTTGTGCAGAGGAAACTCTTCACATTTTGTATGGGGTGGGGGGCGAGGGGGGAGGAGAATGCAGTAGGTATCAGGAGACAGGCAGCAGTGGAAGGGAAGGGAAAAAACCCAAATCGGTCAGTTTGCAACCACAAGGCAGACCCTGAGTGAGAGATCAGAAAACACATTAATTTGGCTCTTTGGCTTGATGTGGGTTTAAAAAAAAAAAAAAGGTCGTTTGAATCCAATCTGAGTTCCATATAATCGTAGAAAGGAGAAAGCTTCGCAATGGTGCGGTTGTATCACCCCCACCCCCACCAGCTCACCCTGTGCAGACCGCCAGTAGTCAAAAGGTGTTGTGAAGCACCAGTACTTTGAATGCTGTCAAGTGTTCCTTTCGCATCGCACCAGTGAAGGTTCAAGCCAGTTGTGCCCCTCCCAGACTGACAGTGTAGCCATGTCTCAAAGGGAAATGAGTTTACAATGGAATTGTAGCAAACTTCTCTCGTTTTAAAAAATAATGTCCAAAGTTTAAATATTTGTAACACTTCAGAATAGTATTAAATTAACCCTTCCTCCCCCTGCAGTCATCCTTCCCTCCCATCACTTCTCCAAACAAAGGAATGAAGAATTTTAGACCCTTCACTTCCTCAGAGGGAAAAGCATGTTGGAGTGCTATCGGGGGCAGTCCAGGTTTGCCTTAGTGTCTGTGTGAAAGAGCAGATTCAGGACTGCAGGAGGTTCTCTGTGCTGTGGAAAGTTCAGGCAGAGCTTCGTTCTCTCATTGCTGAGATTTCACAGACCCTGTATTTTACCCCCCAACTTCTCCAGAAAAATGGGGACAAATTGAATTTGGAACATCCATGGGAAGTGTCTGCCAATTTCAGCAGCATTGTACATTTCACATCCAGTGCAAGTGGCAGAGTAGCCGTCTTTGCACAGGCCTGGCATGCAGGGGCTGAGGAAGCCAGGTAACTTACACACAGAGGGGCAATGCAGGAAAAGCAACTAGCAAGTATTTAAGGTAGAGCAGCCTCGCCTCCACCCCACCTCCACCATCCAGTGACTGACACCCATGCCATTCTTTCCACTGCCAGGAGAAGTCAGCTTAGACCAAAGCTTAGTTTGGTCACCACAGAATCCCAAATGAGTAAGTCAGGGCCACCTACTTCCACTTCCTGATCCACTAATGCCCACTCGTCCCATCACACCCAAGTTGGTCCCATAGCATAGGGGAAGTCAGAGTCTCTGCTCTATTCCATGAACACACCAAGAATTCTGGATAAAACCTAGAGGCAATTTTAGATGGTACAGCAGACACTGAATTCATGCATTTAAGAGTACCTGAAACACTAGTGATTTCTCTACCCAGTGCATTGTGCTCTTTTTTCCATATGGGATGCGAGATGCGTTTTGGGTAGGGATGCCAGAAGAAAGTTCCCCCCCCCATGATTCAAGCTGAACTCACTGCATCTTAAAAAGGAAACCCCCCTATAAGTAATTTACGTTTTTGTACTTTTTTTTTTTAAATCACAAAAGGGAAGGAAACCTAGAGAACAAAGATTTTCCCCCCAGAATTTGTCCCCCACAATCTTAACCCAGGCCCTATGCTTTAAATAGAATCCACCATTCAGGACAAATACCGGCAAGGCCTGTGCCCCTCACATACCACAAATTATGCAGGATTCGCAAGCTCACACCTGTTGTGAAGGAGATAAATTTGAGTTGGGCTGAGGGGTCCAAATGGGAACAGAATTCCTGAAGCCTGGCCCTGGGATGTACTTTATGGCAGAGAGCTAAGAGCA